GGTACATTAGGGGCCGGCACAGATATGCGTTTTTGCGGTCATTTTTTATGAGTTTACAGCGTACAAATCTGAAAAGCGCATGGGACTTCCCACAATGGCTTTTTGATGTATTTATCGCATGAGAAGTTCGGAGATATTATTATCATAGTTATGCATCAGCCTACATTTGAACGTGAGATAAGGTGTTAGGGACAGGTTGCTTGAAATACTGAATTTAAACTGCACCAAACCTGAAATGAATTCTGGAAAACCCTCGAATTTCTAGCTCACTGAATTTATAATGCTGGACTTGGCTGTTAAGATTTGAGACAGAAATTACAAAAATATCAACCATTTATGCCACTTTATATAGTTTAACCATAAACTAAAATTGCAAGCTTGTAGTCTATTGCATCCTGAATTTAGAAAAGGAACTAAATACTTTACAATTTGTTCATTCATTTCGATGACTAACTGACTCCAACATACACCAAGGGGTCAAATCCGCCATCCGCTTGTTTTTAAACAATTCTCGAAGGAAGGACCTCCTATACAGAATCAACAAATGAGGGGTTCTTACTAGTTTTGAAGTGTAAAGTAATGAATGAGTCAATGAAAGAAATAATGGATATCTACCGTCGCTGAACAATCGAATTCGATCAGCATTCTGATGCGTGCTGCCGTAGATGATGCTTGCATCGAGAAAGCTTGACGCTAAATTTGCTTGCTCTCGAGAACCGAGCTTGCAGTTTTCACGCGGAAGCACTAGTGTCCTACTTCGCGGTAGGCACCTCACGTAGCCACGGTAAAAGGGATCATCTGGCGACACTTCCAGCGCATCACATTCAAAATTTCCAGCATCTCTATGGCAGCAGTTGATTGGATTCCGTATATCTGAATCTTGATGATGCTCTAAAATGTCGTTTTTAGAAGCTAATTCATTATTAATCTTTCTTGCTATAAATATACCAAAAATGCGAAATTAGCTCGGATGGCGTGTTGAGTTGAGCTGGTACGCCGGGCGCAGCTATGCCAGGTCCATGGATCCCAAGATATGCACTTCTAGCTAACATTCAACCCTTATTCGCTCGATTTGAACCATTAACATATTAAGAAATGGACTGTTTCTATTAGCAAAGGAATGAGTACCACTGTCGATGAACTGGAATGGCGGATTGTTGGCAATATCCGCGAAAACACTTTGCATCCAGTAAGCAAAAAGCAAGCTGACTGATTTGTGCCGCTCCCATGGCTCCGTGAAAATTGCCAAAGAGGTGTGGCGCGCATTTGGAAGCGCATTGCCGGAGCGTGAACGGCTCGGTACGGTAACACCTACAACTCATTATTCCGGCCTCTATTACTGAATATTTCCAGAGATTTACAAGCAAAAAGCAAAAATTGGCCAACGCACGGGCTGCCCGTGCGAAGATGCGTTTTTTGCAGAGTTCCCCGC